GTAGAAAGGTTTTGCTACATTTTGTTTTCTGTAATTACTGTATTGTATTGTACTGTATCTTGCTTTTTAAGGTTTGTTTTGTTGGGTTTCTTTAAGCTTGTAAGTTATTGTATTGTATTGTATTGTATTGTACCGTACCTTATTTTCTTTAGATACATTTTGTTGGGTTTCTTTAAGCTTGTAAGTTACTGTATTGTATTGTATTGTATTGTCTTGTACCGTACCCTATTTTCTTTAGATACATTTTGTTGGGTTTCTTTAAGCTTGTAAATTGTGAGAGCTCTGTTAAAGATTGTTGCTGCCTAGATTTGTTTCAAATTTGCAGTGTAGTGTTTCATTATGTCCTTCAAAAGATATATTAGATTTTGAATACTGGGTTCTACATATTAACAGTGATTATTATTCAGTTGCTCTTGAAAAATTTTGATTATTTTGTTCTTAATAAGCTTAAATGTTTTGTTCTTAACCTTTGAGTTTGATTTCCTAATAACTAGACAAATTGAAATTAAAAAAGTTGCATGATGCTGATCGGTAAAATGTTGAACAAAGCACCTTATTAATAGGAAAGAAGGATCATTGATGGGATAACCAGTGAAACTGCTGATAATAATAGTGTGTCAACTATCAGCTAGAGTTCCCCCAATCACTTTAGTAGGACATATAGCTTTAGTGGTAACCGGAACTACAGGGGACAGACCCTCCCTTGACTTCTCTCTATATCTATTTATGCTAATGCTAAATTGCTAATGCACACAAATTGTTTGCTATATATAGGCAAGCTTCCCTATGGAAGTTCAATTGACACAATTCAGAAATGGTGTTTGGAAGGAAGAATACAAATTCAATAGATATAAGTGAATTTGACAGCCACTAATATGGTGGAACTAAACCTAATCTCTATTTGGGTAAAGATGAACACTAGAGAACAATAGTAGCAAGTTGGTCACAAGCTTCTTTTGTTTCTTTCCAACTCTTTCATCTTTAAGCTATCTCTATCATCTCAACCCTTTGTGTTTCTTTTGAGAAAATTGGTCTAAACATTCTCTCCTTAACCTCCTCTCATCACAACTTCTGGCAAGAAGGTGACTGGAATAGGGATATCAGCAAAAAATGTAGAACACATGGTAAACGGACATAGAGAGCTGTCACTTTTGTTTGCCTACTCTCTGCCCTTATAGCGTCTAGATTCACTTTTATAGAGATTTCTTTTTCTTTATTTATTAGGCTTAAAATTAAAATTAGTAGGCTTAGCTTTAGCAGTTTTGAGATGATTAGTAGTGATGGGAATCAAGATGACAGCATATCTACTACGTCATGTGATCCATTACACACCTAAGGAGGTCCAGTCACGCGAGCTAGAGCTAAGAAGATGCGTGAAGTTTTTAATGGCCTTATTGAGCAGATCTGGGTTAAAAACAACATACAACAAGCAAATCAAAACTTGGATGATTATCAAGGCATGTAAACATCATTCACGTTCAAGAGAAGTTTAATTGAGGTCATTTGCACGGAATTACACAGTTTGCGTCAAAATCGCACAGTTCTGTCGCAATTTGTAGCAAACTGATATTTCGTGTTATTTTAGGTTATTTTTAGTGGTTTTCACATTTTTTGTATTATTTTTGGGCTGAACATTCTCTTATTTGAAGGCTAATTCGTGGTTACTAGGTTTAGGACTTAGGGTGTTAATTTCCTATTCTGATTAGGAACTGTTTTCTCTATTTAAAATGCTTGTAACCCTAATGGGGAGGAGGCAATTGAATCTGAGTTTTAAGAGACTTTTCTCTTTAATTCTTTTCAGAACTTTATAGAACTTATCAAGATTATTCTTGTTGCGTTCTAACCTGACTTATCAGTCTCGTTCTTAATCGTTCAAGGGTGTGGCATCAACCAACTTTATACCTCTGGTTCTTATTGCGTCATGGACAACGGGTCAAGGTTTTTACATTTGGCTCTTGTTGCGACATAAACAACGGGTCAAGGTCTTATTATAAACCTGATTTGGCTTTCTTGGAATCTAGAAATCCCTTGTCGTGCTATGGGTCTCATTGTTCTCTTTGGGGTTCTCATCAACTAGAGTTTAGTGCCATCAAGTTTTTGATGTAATCATAGGTTCACAGTTCCAATTGAAGCTGTAATGCAAGTTAGTAGCAATAGAGCAGCAAAAGATGATATTTAGAAACTGGTCTGTTCGTTTTCCATCATCAATTTATCATGCAGTGGTTTCTGTTGTTATTAATTTTGATGATTACAAAACAAATGCAACTATAAAACTTAATACTCAAGATTTATTTAATAATAACTTTATTTCCAATGGATTAAGCACAAGTTGTGCCATTATAAATTATTGTGTTTGAGTTTTGTCTTTTATTTTTTTAATTTCCACACTTTAATTTATTCATTTGTAAATGCATTTGCTTGTTCATCAATTTACTCTCAAAAAATTGCATTGAGTTTTGAAAAACCCAAGTTACCCACTCTTGAGTTGCCATTATCCAGGCCAATAGCTTTTAAAAGGTTTTATGCTTCCAGATACATGATAGGAAAGGAAGGCAACCAGTGAATCTATCAATGACACAACTTAATAGAATTTGGCAAAGCTTTACATTAACCTTCTAAAGGCTAGATTACTCTTAAAAATATGCAGTGACTAAACCAGCAGATAAACCAATCCTATGAAGACTTCCCTTATTCTGTTTTGATGGGAATATGCAAATTTGCCAGCATTCCAATGGGGTGTGGAGATTTTATGGCTATTTATATGTTGCCCATTTGCCGCCTTCAAATATTCTCTATCCATCACCTATTCCACAATTCTGATCAGATTTAAGTCCAATAACTGCTTATATATGTAGAATAGAATTCTATAACCTATTACGGTCCCCCATGGAACCCCACAAATTTCCAGCTATATGCATATTGTATGGAATTTTCATTATAAATAGGTATGGTTTGCCTTGTATTCTTAAGTACTAGAAAAGAGGAATAGTCAGTTGTCCACTAAAGTTCCCTTAACGACTTCACTGGGGTTCTTAATGATCATTAACAAGGGAAACTACCCACTGAAGTGTTTGTGGGAACTTTGGCAGGCATCTGGCACAGTCAAGAAAGACAAGGATGAACTTGGAATGTAACCTTTTGTACATTTGCATTTCATGCATCCGGTTTCCTATCATAAAGGCTTGTTTCAATGCCCTTCTTTCACTCTATACCTACAATAGAAACACACTTTCTTGTTTTCTGCTTGC